GAGCTGCAGGTGGAGGCGCTCAAGCTCCCAACCGTGGCGGGCGAGGGCCCGTGCGCGAGGGCACCTGGGCCATCGCCGCTGATGCCAGCGGGCAAGGGCATGGCAGCAAGTGCCTCGGCCCAGCACGGCGGCCATGGAGGCCCTGGGCGGATGGGCGCCCGGGCGCTTCTCAACAGCATGAATTGTTTTAGCGCAGGCCTGGGCCCCGCCCTGATGCAGAGCCTGCGGAGCTCCATGCAGGAGCTCGCGATGCAGATTCGGCAGAGCGGGGCTGGGGTAGCGGAGGCAGCCAGGGCAGCCACCGAGGCCGAGCAGGCCCAGGCAGCACTGGAGGCCGGCGAGGGGGCGGCGCGCGCCCTTGGCTTGAACGGGGACATGGATAGCGAGCCGCACCACCCACCTGGCCAGGCTAACGCCGCGACGCCGCCAGCGCCTTTGGCAGGCAGCAGGGCGGGCGAGGAGCTGGCGCGCACGGCGGAGAAGAAGACGAAGGGCGAGAGCGAGACCGAGGCGGCAGCTGACGCCGGCGCCAGCGGGCCCGGCGGGCAACCCGAGCCAAGCGGCCCAGGCCGCGCAGACGCTGCTGACCCTCACCGTCAACGCCAACAGTTGGACGTCAGCGGCCTCCGCGAGCAAGGGCAGCGAGGCCTACATTGCATTTGTACAAGAACATAAACCACATGGCAAACGGTTGTTCGAAGCCGAAGAGTCAATGCGGAAGCTAGTCTGGGAATCTTTCTGGCCAGCATGCGAGGTCACACGCAAAGGCGGCGCATCGGCTGGAGCTACCATTTTCGCCCGAGCCCATCTCGACGCCTGGCAGGGCCCAGCGCGCGCAGGAGATCTCTCCTCGAATAGGCTTATCCAGATCTTCTCCAGGAGTCGAGCGCCGGGGATCACCTCGCCCCACTGCGCCTACATCCACGACTCGGAAGGCCCCCCAGCAAAGAATGTGCGCCTGGCGCAGACGCCGGGCCACGACATCTTGCGCCTGGGCCCCCCGCCCATCATAGCAGGCGATTTCAATATAGAGCCGCATGTATTCGAGGAGGGGTTCGCCCCACACAAGTGGAATTGTCAGCGTGCAATTCCCTCGCCAACTGGAACTCGTAAGAGCGCATCCCCAGCCAGATGCTACGATTACGCCACCATGAGCAAGCCGCTGTCGACACCAGTCAAGGCGGCGCACGCGGACATGAATTCTGACATCTTTCCCCATAGACCAGTCTATCTTTAATTGGATGCACATGCTGATGCGGCCCAGGTCCAGCGATTGAGGCAGCGCGCGAAGCTCCCCGTAGACCTCCCGTTCGGCCCAGCCCTCACGGCTCCAGATTACGAAGAGCTGGAGAGGCGTCTTGGAGTTCTTCCACGGCCTTTAGCTGTCCCTGGAGGACATCGGCCCCCAGTGGGTGATGAACCAGGCCTGCTTCAACCTGAATTGCATGAGGTCGGCGCGAAATCGGCCGAACAGGCTCGGGGAGAATTGGAGGGCACATGCCAATGCCTCCCCGAAGGGAAGAAGGGCGGGTCGCCGCATGAGCTGGCGAGTTGCTCTGCACCCGCCGGAGCCCCGCGCGAAGTCCTCACAGGGCCCCCCATCGGTTCTCTCGTAGATGTCGGGAACCTTACGGACTTATTACCAATGGGACTTCTCTAACTCAATCTTTCTACCACTGGAATATCTCGGAGGCCGCCTAGAGGGCGACAGTCCCGGTAGGCATTTCCAGATGCCATTATCCTGGAGGACGCGATGTTTGAGTGGGTCTTCTGCAAGCGGCAGTGGGCTGTTTCTGGGTTGCGGGCCCCATCCCGCTCATGGATGCGACGGCGAACAAGTTCTAGGCGCTCCATGAGTTTTCTGATTATCAGGCGTTTTTGGCCCCGCCGCGCGAGATGGCTGAGAAGTCAGCCAAGTGGGGCGACCGGTGCACGGGGGCCCTCTCTGGCGGAGCCAAGTGGGCGCACGCTTATACCAAGGTGGCGACGGATAGGAAACAGGATCTTTTCCCCGCGGACGATGGAGGCGCCTTCACTTCGTGCATTACTGAACAGCCGGAGGAGGAGGGGCCGTAGTGGGAGAAGGCTCGGGGCGAGGAGGCTGAAACTGACAAAGGCCTCGCGCGGCCAGAGGACATGGATTGCCCGAAGCCACCTGACCCCGAGGAGCTCGGACATTTGAGTCAGTCTTTCAAGAGAGCTACATTGCCGCGGACGGGTTTCACCCCAGGAATTTCCACCTCCTGCGCGATGGGGCGCTCGCAGTGTTCAGCCAGGTCATGGACCTGATGATGGTGCTCGGTTCCTCTCCGTCCTGGATGCGGCAGCTGATCGCGGCTTCGCTCCGCAAACCGGCGCCATGATGGCGGCCGATAGGGCGATGCCCGAGGACGGTCGGGATGGTCTCGCGCGGGCAGTCCAGGGATTATCAACCGCGGGAGCACTCGATCCAGGACCCCAGGGTTCTCAGTATGAGAGCTGGCAGATCACCAACAGACACGGTTCGGAGGCAGCAGGTTCGAGGAGACTTAGCAGCCAGAGAGAAGAAGCACGTTTTGAGTTCATTTGCTGATCTGACACAGTGCTACGAGCACGTTCAACACCCACAGCTGGCACAGAGTGCGATCGAGCGGCACTACCCTTCGCACGCACTCAGGTTCGCCACGCACACACACACATACGGGTGGGAGCGCACGCTGAACATGGATGGGGTAATGTCTAGGGGGATTGAACCTCACTCGGGCACTGTAGCGGGGGGCAGCACGGCAACATTCGAGATGAAGGTTTATTGCATACCCACAGTACATGCATACCTGCAGAGGGGCGTTAGTACAGAGCTGGCGGTTCATGTAGATGTTTTCAGCTTGAATGAACGGCGCGCGGACATGGCCCAGTGCATCGTTAACTTGGCGACTGCGCTGGCGTTCTTGATAGATCATCTCGGCCGGCCGGTTAATCTGACTTTCGCTAACAAGAAGTATTGCATCGCAGGCACTAGCGAGCAGCTGGTCACAGCAGCCGAGGCTTCTCTGAGTCAGCACGCTGAGGGCCATGGCGTTTCTTTGGCGAATGCCGCAGCGCCCGACGAGCCCGACTCGAATAGCAAGACCCTCCGAGACCCTAAGCGATCGAATGCGAAGATTGGGTTCTGCGGGGGCAAATCAGCATCGACACACTGGAGGAGGCGACGGGTTGGGATCCAAATGAGCTTCGACGTTTACGCTCCTAGGCGGCGGGATTACTACGTCTCGCGAGCTGCGAAGCAGACCTCCATGTGGCCATTGCCCCGGAGCCGAACACGGGCCCGCTGCGCCAGGCGGGGGCAACTTTAACACGGCACGCTAAAGAGCATCGGTCGGCCTCGGACCCGAACCTGAAACTTGGGGGCAGCCTCAGCGCGGGGGAACGTTCCTGGGCGCTGAACGCCACGATCGATTTCCTGGACAACAAACCCAAGGGTTTCTGAGACTACCTTTCTCGAGGACCTATCAGGGTCATGCTGTCCTGGCTTCGCAGGGCGGCATGGTCGGCTTGGGCCCCGGGCATGTTTGTTATGATAAATGGGTCACAGCGCGCTAAGACGGAGTTCCCTTTCGCCCAGGTGCGCAGTTATTTGGCGGAGGATGTAGGCCAGGAGCTCGCGGCCAACAGCGCGAACAAACATCTCGGGCCCAGTGAACACCCCAGGGTTATTCAACCCCCGCAGGGGATCTGGCACGGGAAACGTTTTTTTTGTTTTTTTTTTTAAAAATAAAAAAAAAAAAAAAAAAAAAAAAAAAAAAAAACGTTATACCTTATTATTATTTCAATATATATAATATATATATATGTATATATATAAATAAATAAATAATAATAATAATTCTAATAATCATAATACGAATAATAATAAATTATATATATATATATAACAAAAAAAAAAAAAAAAAAAAAAAAAAAAAAAAAAAAAAAAAAAAAGGACCAGATACCGAACCTATGTTTGTTTACGAGGGGGGTTGTGACGGCCAGACACTTTAACAGGCGGCGGTATCAGGCGGAGCCTCATTGCCCGTTTCACAGGGCCTCCGAGGGAGGAGCCATCGACGGAGCGCGGCACCGCGCCTTCGAGTGCCCCCACTTCGCGGAGAAGCGATCAGAGTTCATGCCCACGGAGTGGGCACGGGCGGGGCGGGAGGCAGGCGAAGCCGATCCCTTTTTCAGCAACCTACGGCTACCGACCCCTGATCAAATCCAAGGGCCTCTCTGGGGCGGCGAAGTACACTACTCACATGGGCCCTGAGGGGCCTGAGGGGCCTGAGGGGAAGCGAACTTTCATTCAGAACGACTTCGTTGATTCGGATGTGTCGTGTTTGGGTGGGAAATACGGGTTGGTGGCTAGAGCGGGATGGGCGGTGGCATCGGTGGGTGAGGAGGGTGGATCCCAATGTTCTGTATACGGAAATGTTCCAGGTTTCTTGCCTCAGTCTGCGGTCTTTGGCGAGTGCGACGGATTGTTGCAGGCGCATCCGAACTGGAGGCTCCAGATGGTGACGAGCCACGTGACTTGACAGCTTAGCAGAGTGGCTCGGAGACATCAAGAAGGAAATGAGAAGGCTGACGAATTCGCCAACGACGGAGCCAAGCAGCACCCAGGAGTCCTTGATAACAGTCACAGGTACGAGGTGATGCTGGACGGGTGTAGCGAGGCGGCTTCAGGCATGGTTAGGATGTTTGAGGATGTCCCGAGGGCCCAAGAGGTCTTCGGTTAGCTCGATAGAACAATTTCGGAAGTTTGGGAGCCCACTGTGCCTCACAGCAACGTGTCCCACCGCGTGCTCTGGAACGGCTGCCGTTGGAGGTGCGTCAGGTGTGCCAAATGCTTCGCTATCAAGCAGCCTAAAAGTAGATGTGCGGCGCTGACGGAGTGCCTGCTAAAGCTCAAGGACCTAGAAATATCGCCGCCCCAGTATGTGTACGCTTGTCGTGTGACTGAGACGGGCCTGCCAGTCCTGATGTGCATGAAGGTGTGGGGCCTACACCTCTGGGAAGCCCAGAGCGTTGGGAAACCCCTGCATGATAGCTTTCGCGGCACAGCGAAGTCAGCTTCTCAGTGGCAGACTGCCCTGGCCAAAGGGCTAGCACGTCTCGTCCCCCTGGCCACTGGAACACCCCGAGGCAGGGGGGGAATGGTGGGCCAGGTTGAAACACGTTTAGTTTGTAATTATTTTCCCCCCAGCCCCCTTCGAGCCTGGCTTGAAGGAGGTTATGAGAGCCATTGGAAAAGGAGGCGGAGGGAAAGAAGGAGGAGGAGGAAGACGAGAAGGAGAACAAGGAGCAGGAGTTTTCGACCCATCTTGAACCGTTCTCTTCGAGATGAGTCGGTCCATGAGGGCCCTGGGGCCCTGGACTGGGCAAAAAGCGCCCGTCATGAGTTCGTTCGCGACTCCCGGGTGTGAGGGCCCCCCGTTGCGCGGGTGGCCAGCGGGCCTTGGGTGACCATCCGCGGCCACGCAACACAAAGGCTTCGGAGACCTCGCGCGCGCGCGCAAGGTGATGTCGCTGAGACCGACCGGCAAGGGCAAGGCTCGGCAGCAAACAGAAGGGTGGGTGGTGAGGGTTTCTCAGAAGGCACGGAGGTCTTTGAGGAAGGCACGAAGGAGGCGGAGGTGGGTGGGTAGGGAGGGCGGTTTTCTAAGAAGTCAAGGGTGGGTGGGGAGGGCGGCTTTCTGAAAAGGCAAGGAGGGTGGGTGGGGAGGACCGTCTTCCAAGAAGGCAGGGAGGAGCCTTCCCAGACGCCCCCGAACCCTTTTTGGACCTGGAGGGACGCCCCCCCACACACCGCCCCGCCCCCGGGGTGCAAAGCCGTTCCGAGCGGGCCCACTGACCCGTGCCGGAGAACATCTGGGCCGCCCGCGGGGACGCAAGGAGGCAACCCCGTTTCGCGCGCCGCGGGGCGCTCGGGCGCGAAGGTGGCCGCGCATCGGGCATCGCGGGGCGCTCGGGCGCGAAGTCCTGCAGCCCAGGCACGTCCCGGCCTGCCGGTCCAGCGGCGCACGGCCGCGGCCACCGCTCAGCTCAGCCGCGGCCACGAGGGAACCCCTCTCCCAAGAGGCCCACAGGGGAGGGCAAGAGCAGAGCGCGCCTGGACGGCGCTCCCCCCCCCCCCCCGTCGCCCTCGTGCTCGCGGGCCAGGGCAGCCCTTCCAGGCCAGTCCCTGGGGCCCCTCCTGGAGCGCCTCCTGGCCATCTCGAGCCGAGCCTGGGCCGCGGCGACGCGGGCCATCGCTCGAGCCGCGCCCGGTCGTGGCGGCGCAGGGGGGGGAGCGGCTCCCGAGGGCCAGAAGGCAGAGGTCAGCGAGGACGAGGCCCCCGCCCTTCGGCGCGCCGCCAGAGAGGCCAAGCCCGCTGCGGGGCTGGGCGTGGCCAAGCCGGGCGCTGCCAGGCCGGGCGCCATCGCCGGCGATGACGACCGATGAAAGCGTCGACGAAAACAGCGGCGAAGACGAAGACGACGACGACAACGCCGCCGCCGCCGCCGCCGACGACGACGAAGACGACGGCGGCGGCGGCCGCGGCCGCGGCCGCGGCCGCGGCGACGGCGACGGCGACGGCGACGGCGACGGCGACGGCGACAGCGGCCACGACCACGACCACGACCACGACCACGACCACGACCACGACCACGACCACGACCACGACGACGACGACGACGACGACGACGACGACGACGACGACGACGACGACGACGACGAGCGAGGCCTCCGAAGCACTCCAGGGACCTCCAGTCGCCTCCAGAGGTCCGTGGAGGCCCCCTGCAGGCCCGCGAGGCGACGGACTACCAGAAAACCTCCCCCTTCGAGCTTCGACACCCGACCCTCGAAAGCCTCGACCCCCTCGGCGGGCGGCGGCCAGGCCGGGCGCGGCCCGGCCGTCGGCGGACGCCGCCGCCGCCCCCGCGCCCAGCGGCGGGGCCGCACCCAGCGGCGCGGCCGCGCCCAGCGGCGCGCCGGCCCCCAGCGGCGCGGCGGTGCCCAGCGGCGCCCGCGCCAGCCCGGCGGTGCGCGCACAGTCCCTGGGCGTGACGGCAAAGGCGAGCAAGCCAGCGCCCGGCGCCGCGCCCGGCGCCGCGCCCGGTGCCGCGCCCGGCGCCCCCGGACTGGCGGCCAACTCGCCGCCGTCGCCGTCGCGTTGTCGTCGTCATCGGCGGAGGAGGAGGAGGAGGAGGAGGAGGAGGAGGAGGAGGAGGAGGAGGAGGACTACGAGGCGGAGGAGGGAGGGAGGGAGGGAGGGAGGGAGGGAGGCAAGAGGGAGAAATGGAGAAAGGGAGAAAGGGAGGAGGAGGAGGAGGAGGAGGAGGCAGAAGGGAGGTGCGAGGCAGAAGGGAGGTGCGAGGAGGCGGGTGGCAGGGGCGTCGGGCTGCCCCCGCCCACGGCGCGCCGTGCCCAGGCGCGGGCGCCCAGGCGTCCAGGCACCCATCGCTCGGCAGCGCCACCTCCACCTGGGCCAGGCCGCCGGGGGCGGCCGAGCGAGCGCCCGGGCGGCGATCCGGGGCAACGATACCGGGGGGGGGAATTCGCATAGGGGTGGTTGCATCGACCCCCAATCGCCCACTGATCGCCGATAGGGGCCCGCTGGCCCCAACCCGCCCAGGAGCTTGCGGAGTCACTGTATCGGGGGCCCATCGGCGATGCATCACCCATTCGAGGTCGATGTTCCCCCCCCTATCTATGCCTTATCCCCCCCAATCGTTGCCCCCTCATGCGACGGCGGCAACGACTGGCGATAGTGGAGCGGCGGCAGATGCGGCGGCGGCGGCGGCTGCGGCGGTTGCAGCGGCGGCACATGCAGCGGGCGGCGGGCGGCGGCAGCAGCAGCGGCAGCAGCAGCGGCAGCAGCGGCGGCAGCAGCGGCGACGGCGGCGGCGGCGCTGGCGACGGCGGGCGCCGGCGACAGCGCTGGCGACGACGACGACGACGACGACGACGACGACGACGACGACGACGACGACGACGACGACGACGACGACGACGATGAGGACGACGACGAGGTAGCGAGGGAAGGGTGGTGGCAAGGAGGGAAGGGAGGAGCCTTTTACAACCACATGAGAACCAGTTGCAGATTTGACACCGCTTCCTCCCTTCTCCGGCTGGATGCGAAGCTGATGATGACGCGCGGCCTTGGGGAACGCACCGAGATTGGAAACGACGAGGAGAAGGAGGAGGAGGAGGAGGAGGAGCAGCAGGAGCAGGAGCAGGAGCAGGAGAAGGGGAGGAGCAGGACCAGGAAGGGAGGTGGGAGAAGGAGGAGGAGGAGGAGGACCATAGCCATTCTGGCTCAAGTTCAAACGCCATGCCTTGGGCGCTTGAGCTTGACCGCAGCCAGGGGGGTGGCTCAGACCGCTTTCTGGCCAGCAGTTGGCCCAGCCCCTTTCTGCTCCGACTCTTTCTACAGATTCTGCTCCCGCTGCGGGTATCCAATCGGAGATCACCGCTAGTGGCGCCATGGGCATGCACACGGCAAGTCAGATACGGGCTGCAGAATTGGAGCAAGTCAATGAACTGCAACACATGTGGTTCCAATTGGAATGCTTGGGACGGAAACCACCAGAGGGACCTCAGGGACAGGGGGGGCCACAGGCCCAAGGGCCAGGGGTCGGGCTCGCGCTCGCCCCCATGGGAGGACGAGGAGAGCTCTTCCGCAGGGCCACCACGCGTCACGCCGGCCGAAGCCCAGGCGCACCCCGACTACCAGGAGCTCGCCGATTGCGGGCGAGAGCGACAAGAAGCAGCATCACAAAGAGACCAGAGCCAGGCTGAACTTGCCCCATCAGGGGTGCAGCATTGCGTGGGCCATGAGAGAACCAGTGCAAGAGATTGAGCAACAGATATCGATTCTCAGGACGATGCTCAGTTCGGAGAAGAGAATAGAGCAACGGAGTGCGTGGACAAAGACAACCATGGCAAGAATGATGTTGCGAGTCGACGCCGCCAACAAGGTTGTGGACGCGCAGAAAGAGACAATAGAGAAGAAGACTGCCCAGAGAGACAACTTGCAGGACCAGCTCGGCGCCCTCAGGCGCACCAAGAGAGAGATCCAGGCAATGACTGCGAAGAAGGAAGAAGAAGAAGAAGAAGAAGAAGAAAAGGTAGCCACTTCCGACGTGGGCGCAGAAATGCAGACGGACTGGCCAAACCAGAGCGCAGTGACGTTCGGATAATCCCTAGCTTCCACGGCTTCGGCATCGGCAGAGTCTAGATTCCAGAATGCAGTGTAGACCCAGATCGAGACCTAGATGAAACCCATCATCCAGTAGATGCATCGCACGCAGAAGTTGACGGAGCATGCTCTCCAGGCCAGCTCCAATGACGGAAGACATGAAGGGCGGCCAGCAGCAGAGGCTGATAGAGGTCCCGCCTTCATCACCGAGTCCAGTGCCGTCGCCGATTCTACATGTTCTCAGGACGCTGCCGCCACCGTGCTCGACTGTACAGAGGCACCGACTCCACTTGCAGACAGCGCCCCGAGAGGATCCAGGAGGCAGCCCCTGGCGCAGCAGAGAGCGGCGAAGCCCGAGAGCGGGTCGGACGACCAGCGCGTCATTGGACCCCCGCGGCGTTCCACGGCAGCCACATCAAGGATCCCGAGCCTGCGCGCGGCGTGAGCACCTACCGCCACCCCCGATCGACTCGAGATGACGCGGCCAGTCACGGCCGAGGGCCGCGTTGAGTGCGACCATGCCCTGCCGTTCTGTAGATCTGACCCATCCCCCCCCTCCCTGCCCCTGCGGCATCGGGGGTGGGCATGGGCCCACATCCCTGGGGCATGGGAAAGACGATCGGCCTGGTCCAGTTTTGTCGGAGCTCGGCGCTCGCATTCCGATCGGCGCGCATATTGTGGGTGTGGGGGGAGGGGGGCGATCTTTGCGACCGGATCGTCTGCGAGCTGTGGCGAGGTGGAGGAACCTCTCGGCACGCCTCCAGAGAGCCGGTCGCACCAGCAACCATGACACGGAGGTCGACCAGACCAACTTCCACACCCACGCACAGCTCGGCTTCGACGCAAGGCCGCGCCACCAGGCTGAACCTCACACGTGGGCGGCTGGAAGATTTTCCGTCGTAAAAAATGACTGGTGGAACCTCACCTGGCTTAGGGCTCGAAAATCTAAGCGCCAAGGGCGGGGGTCCTAGCATTGTATCCACGCCTCGCTCCCAAACTGGGTCAGTCCGCGCGCTCGTCTGTGGGTCAGTCGGTCCGTCGGTCGTCGTCTCGGTCCGTCGGTCTGTCGGTCCGTCGGTCGTCATCGGTCATCGTCTCGATCGGTCGGTCGGTCGGTCGATCGGGCATCGTCGGTCGTCGTCGTTTCGGTCGGTTATTCGGTCGGTCGCTCGGTCCGCTCGTCGATCGTCGGTCGGTCGGCGGTCGTCGTCGTCTCGGTCGTCGGCCGTCGGTCCACGGCCAGAATCCGCCCACGCCAGGGCGCGCTCTGAAAGCCACAACCGGAGCCAACGCGGCTACGGATGCAGTGAGGTCGAGAGCAAGACGTTGGACCCAGAGTTTGTTCGATCTGATCTGTTCATTGGAATTTGAATGCCACCAATCGTCCACTGACTGCAGGGGAGGTGATCTGTTTTCTGGAGGCGAGTGGATGAGGAGCAGCAACAGGGTGTCAGAGGGAGTCTTCTTCTAAAACCATCATCATCCGTTCTCCCTCCTCCTGCTACTTTGTCTCATCCCTCTCCTTCTTCTCGATCCCCCTCCTCCCTCCTCATCCTCATCCCCCTCCTTATCCTCCTCCTCCCTTCTGTACCTTCGCCGTTGCCCCATCCCCGCTGGTTAAAGCCTCCTCCTCCATCACCTTTCTCCATCCTCCTACGTACCACATCCGCCCCCTCCATCCCCCTCCTCCTGCCCTTCGTCTCTCCTCCATCCCCCTCCTCCTGCCCTTCCTCTCTCCTCCTCCTCCTCCTCCTCCTCCTCCTCCTCCTCCCTCCTCCTCCTCCTCCTCCTCCTCCTCCTCCTCCTCCTCCTCCTCCTCCTCCTCCTCCTCCTCCTCCTCCTCCTCCTCTTCCTCCTCCCCCTCCCTTTTTCCCCCTCTTGGAGAACGACGACCACGACGACGACGACGACGACGACGACGACGACAACAACAGCAATAATCATTTTAAGACTGTTCGCTCTTACCTGCTCGCGTGTCGAATAACGCGAATTCCCCAAACCCTCGATACCCGCCCTTTTCGTCTTCGATCGAACCCCTTTTGGGGGGTATACCTTTCTTCCCTGCAGGCCGGGCCCCAGCAAGCGGCGGGGCGGCCGCGGACCGTCGGCCTGGCCAGCGGCAGCGCTGATCGGCGGGGCGGCCGCGGACCGTCGACCCGACCCCAAGAGGGACGGACAGGGGACCGACCACGACGACGACGACGACGACGTCGTCGACGACGACGGCAACGACGGCGACGGCGACGACGACGACGAGCGAAAGCGAGAGCGAGAGAGAACGACAGCAGAGCCACGAAGGACACGAAGTAGGCCACGAACGGCGACAGCGGGGACACGAAGGGAATGCGTATGGGGCCACGAAGAGCGCGAACGAGCGTGGGCCACGAAGGGCAGATAATGCGGGGCCACAGACGGCAACGATGGGGCCACTGAGGGTAGCACCTGGGCCACGTAGGACAATGAGGGGGCCACGAACGGCGACAGCGGGGCCACGAAGGGCATGCACATGGGGCCACAACGGGCGCGAACGATCGGGGGCCACGGAGGGCATACGTATGTTGGGCCGCGGAGGGTAAGGACGGGGCCACTGTGGGCAGCAACGGGGACACGAAGGGCAGCGAGGGGGCCACGAAGGGCGACAGCGGGGCCACGAAGGGCATGCAGATGGGGCCACCACGGGCGCGAACGAGCGAGGGCCACGAAGGGCATACATAGATGGGGCCACGAAACAAAGCGAGGGGCCCACGAAGGGCTGCAACGGGGCCACGAAACAAAGCCAGGGGGCCACGAAGGGCTGCAACGGGGCCACGAAGGGCTGCAACGGGGCCACGGAGGGCAACGAGGGGGCCACGAAGGGCTGCAACGGGGCCACGAAACAAAGCGAGGGGGCCACGAAGGGCTGCAACGGGGCCACGAAGGGCAACGAGGAGGCCACGAAGGGCTGCAGCGGGGCCACGAAACAAAGCGAGGGGGCCACGAAGGGCTGCAACGGGGCCACGAAACAAAGCGAGGGGGCCACGAAGGGCTGCAACGGGGCCACGAAGGGCAGCGAGATCCCGATTCCTAGGTAATCTGTGACGGAGTCCTAAGCGTGAGCGCGACTCCTGGGTGCCTGGGTGTCGGGAGCGCGGCGCTGGAGTAAATTGCAAGAAATTGCAACGCAAGGGCGCTATCCTTCAGTAAATTGCAAGCAAGTATCCAGCCAGAGCGCGACTCCAGAGCGCAGGAGGAGCGATTCCTGAATAAATCGTAAGGAAGTCCCAAGCGAGAGCGCGACTCTTGAATCAAATGCGAGGAAGTCTCGGGCGGGAGCGGGGGTCCTGGCTAAATTGTGAGGAAGTCTCAGGCGGGAACCGTTGTTGTTGTAACCTGGGGGCCAGGGGGCCAGTTTGAGCAGGAAGACTTTCCTGTCAAAAAACAGGGTGCGAGCCCCGGGGGGGGGCACTTCAAGTGAAAAAATCAATGTGCACCAGTGAGGGGGGATCAACAATAATTATTCTTCAAGAATGAGAGTTCAACTACGGCGACGGCAACGGCGACGGTGGCGACAATATCAACAACGACGGCGGCGACGGCGACGGCGACGGCGAGGAGCCGCCCCCCTCCCCCCCCGCCCCCCGAGGCCCTCGGGGCCGGCCGCCAAGGCCGCCAAGGCCGGGGACTGGTCGCCGTCGCCGCCGCGCGCCACGGAGGAGAGAAAGGAGGAGGATCAGATCGGAAGATCGGATCGGAAGTCCGCGCAGGTGCACCACCAGGGACAGAGGAGCATGACCGGAGCAAGCCCAGGATGCAACAAGGATGCTGCAGTGCAGTCTGCCGCCCCGGGCTCCCTCCCCACAAGTCCGTGCAAGGCGTCCTTGTCACTGCGAGGCGCGCCCCCTGAATGACGAGCATTCCATGGACGTGCCATGCAGGCCAGAGCACCGTGTTGGAAAGGAACTGCCCTGCATCCGTCGAGCCAAGTGAAGGGAGGGCGACAAGGTAGGCACAGAAAGCTCAACGAATTGTCCCGCAAGGGTCCCGCCTTGACAAAGAACCGACCCCAGCAGTGCGACAGTTGCACATGTTCTCACCTCAGGAAACAACTTCCAGGAGGTCTCCTGAGAGAGCCCCACGTGGAAGAAGAGCCGCGCCTCATGCGTGCAGCTGCTGCACATCCTCAAGCTTCTGGCCGCTCACCCTCGGGAAGTCCCGAGCAAGAGCCCCCGCTTGGAAGAGAGGAGGACAAGGAGCAGGGAGGATGGAAAGGCCGAGGGTGCGTTTGCGTGCTCCTCTCGTCGCAGATTCGCTCGCATATGGCCGTGATCTACTATGCGGGTTGGCTTCTACCTCGCCGTGGTGCTCGTCTTCGTCATGGTGGTGGCGCCCACAGCGCGGAGGTGAAGAGGTGTGGTGCGTGTTAAATGTGGCCCTGCCTGCGAGACCACCCCCACGGCGACCCCCAGCGCGGCCGCCCCCACGGCGATAGCCCCAACACGCCGAGGGACACGGCTGTCCCGTCCGAGGCTCACTCTGAGGTGCTGCGCATGTGTGTGTGTGTGCTTGCGTCGTCCTCCCCCTCGCACGCCGGACGATTTTCCTCCCGGCTGCCCCGAATAGCCACACGCTGGAGCGAATTGCCTTTGCCTTTGCCGCCGACGAAGAAGTGCTCGCGTCGGCCGAGATGTCGGCCGATGGAAATCCCATGCGGGGAGGCCGCGGTCGGCGTTTCACGGGAAAACGCGCCGATGTCGGCCAGAGCCGGCGCTCCAGGAGGGGGCCCCGGGCCCTCGTGCTCCTCGCCCCCGCCTTGGCGAGCAGCGCCGACGTCGAGAAGTGCTGCCCACGCGCATACACATGTGTGCATGCAGACACATGTATGCACACACGCGTATGAGTGTATGTGTGTACGCATGCGTGGTACCGCTCTCTCTCTCTCTCTCTCTCTCCTCCTGTTCCTCCTCCGCATCAACCCCCGCATCTTCCTCTTCAGCCTGCATTGGGGAGATGGTGGCTATGAGGAGCGGGAGGGGTGGTGATATGAGGAAGAGGAGCAGGAGGACGAGGAGGACCAGCAGAAGGCTGAGGTCTCACTTCGTTTCCTGCCCCTCTCGCTTCTATCACTCTTCCTCCTTTTCCCCCTCCTTCTACTGTCTCCTGATCCTCATCCTCCTTCTATCGTTCCTCCTTGTCCGCCTCCTCTCTCCTATGAGGACGAGGAGCATGATGAGGACGACAAAGAGAAGACTGACGAGGATGAGGGAATGTGGAGGAGGAGAACGTGTGCTAGGAGGACGAGACGGTGGTTGAGGCTACATTCATCCTTCTCCTCCTCCTCCTCCTACTTCTCTTCCTCCTCCTCCTCCTCCTCCTTCCCCCCTCATCCTCCTCCTCCTGTTTGCCCTCATCCTGCCCCCCCCCCCCTTACATAACTGTTCCTCCTTACCTTCCTGGTAAACGCATGTAACAGTCATCGTCGTGCTCATCTGCCTTACAGGAAAATGGGGGAGGGGACACAGAGAGTGATGGATAGGAAGAAGAGGATATGTCACATGAGGAGGAGATGGAGGAGCAAGATGAGGATGCTGTTGAGGAGTCTTTCCTTCTCCCTCTCATCAACCCCATCCTCCTCATCCTCTCCTCATCCTCATCATCCCCCTCCTCCTCCTCCCCTCCTCAGCCTCCTCCTCCTCGTGCTCCCACCAGTCCTCCCCATCCCCCACAGTCTAACATTCCTGCTCCTGCGCATGCTACTCCTGCTCCTCATATCTCTCACATGGGAGGCGGGGGCGGAGAAAGGAGACGGAGGGATGATGATGAGGAGGGC